CGGGCTTCTCAAAAAACAGCATTAGGGTTTGCTTACTAAACTAGCACAGCGGCTTTCAGTAATGCAGCCGCGGATTAATACTGAGCGGTATGGCGCAATCCTTTTCCTGCTCATGGCTATTCTACTGCTATTGCTTGCTCCTAATTACTTGGAGTAAACACTCGGACATGGAGTGGAATGGTTAACTAGCCCTACATTTAATTTCGTGGAGCTGTGCCCTGTCAGTTTCACTATCATTGATGGGCAACGTATAGCATAGTGAAGCAGCGCCGTGTAGTTTCTCAGGTAGGCAAGACTTGGCTCTCTGAAGTCGTGCTACCATCAGTTGGCAACAAATAGTTTGTTTGTGCCGTGTCACTGCCATTAAAGAGCAACATAAAGGCAGTGCCGTGTAGCCCCCTTAGGTAGGCATGCTTGGCCCCGCAGAGCAGCGCCATGTCACTGCCATCGGTAGGCAACTAAACAGTTCGTTGCGCCGTGTCACTGCCACTAGTGAGCAACTTAGAGGCAGTGCCGTGTAGCCCCCTTAGGTAGGCATGCTTGGGCCCCGTAGAGCAGCGCCGTGTCACTACCATCGGCAGGCAGCCAATAGTACAGTTGTGCCGTGTCACTGTCACTGAGCAGTATAAAGACAGTGCCGTGTTGCTCTCATAGGTAGACAGCGTTTAACACTGTAGAGCAGCCACTGCCATTGGTAGGCAACGAAACAGACTATTACGCAAAACAAAGATTCGGGAAGCGTTGTCGTTTCACTTTCTTTGGTAGGCAAGATCCAGCTCCGTGAAGAGCTCTCGTGTCACTAATACTTTTGAGCAATGTATACCTTCGTGCAGTACTGCCGTATTACTGCTAAAAAATTGCATCAATACCGATCCACCATGTGTGTTCTTCTTGAAATAAACAGTACTAGGAATATTGCTTGGGAATATAATGCAATAACATAGTAACCCAAATTGTTCGGAGGGCAGGGGATAGTAGTGCCACGTGCCCGGTGTAGTGCGGCCAGTCTCCGGATCGGCTCTTGCGCGCCCTAGACGCTCCTGTGCTCTATACCTCCGACGAAGGCGATCCCGAATCCCACTCGTCTAGCAAAACTACCAACATGTCATCAGATTGCCCAGGTCCAGTCGAATGCAAGAGCCGCTCTGAAGGGAAGTAAAGTGCAGAAGTGGGCGATCATGAAGAGTTTTTGATCAAAGCAGAAACCTTCATGGCTTATTCATTTTAGCGCTGATCAGGCACCGTGATGGGTCGCTAATAAAACGCTGTTGGTTCTAATTTTTGATAACGATCTTTTAAGAGCGATTTTGACACAACTTCTAATGGAAACAACATCCGTAGAGTTTTTATGAACACGCACAACTGCACTCTGCAATCTTTCACCCGCACAGAACGGATGCCCTTTTGCGAAGAGAATAAAAGAGCCATTGAACGGTGTCTCATCTTCCGCAGCCAATGACAGCCTCTATTGTACTGAATTTGGCCACTATTCTACTAGGTAAGTGAAGGCTTCCCTTGCATTAACGAATCTTTGTCGGCCAGATTGACCCTTGAGCTGCTTCCAAGGATGGAGATACGTTTTGTACTAAAAGAAATATGATGGGATACGTTTTGTACTAAAAGAAATATAAATTCGCTAATGTTCATTCAGCATTTTGTGCACCGCCTTGATCGGTCATGTCTCCTAACCATCAGACCGAACCAAGGGACCTGAAGGGCTAATTTCGCGATTTCATGTCGCAGACATATACAGGGTGGGTCCAAACCACCGGTTCACCTTTATTTCAATGCCCTCTCAACATCATCTTCCAGAAATGAATTCCATTCATTGATATTATTTACTACAATCAGTCACTTATTGATCTGTTAAACAATTTACTGACAAACCAAAAATATTCTAGGTTCCCAAACGTTCGCAGCCTTTCCTTCGGACGTTTGGCGAACGCTGCATTTTTGGCAAGCAAGTCGTGATCCTGATCAGTGAATTTTGTCACCGGGTTCAAGAAAGGCCGCTTCGAGGGAGTTCAAATCAGGTTGATTGCCCGAGCATGGTTTCCTTTCCAAAACGCAGTTGTCCAAGATCTGGAGGGTCTCGAAAGTGGAGAGTCATTTGTCGTGCTGGACGAAATTAGCGAGCTACTACGCGCGCCAATCCTTGACCACTCTGTGTGTGAAGGTTTTAGCTACTTCCCGCTCAAGCCCAAGAGAAAATCCCAATAAGAATTAATTTCATATTATGTGGATGCACCAGCGATTTTGCCCCTTTAGTATGTCTATCTTTGGTCGAAGGACGGCACAGTCGTGGAACCCGTTATAGAATTTCTACTAGGTCGAGTTTGAACTTTCTTTTTTGCGGGTTATCATCCTTTGCAAACAGATGGAGCGACAATATGCATAAATAGTCGTCCATTCTGTGATGAAATCCTTATGATTTGTGCCGTCCGAAATCGTTCAAAGAGTTGAACGCCCAAGATTGGTCGAATCGATGCGTCCCATATAGCAGTTGGTTCTCAGATGAGAATTAAATGCTGCCCATTGTATGACATATGAGCACAATTCAAAGCACGATAGTTGGAAAGGGCGTGTTCGCGGATCTAGATGTTAGCGCAGAGGCAACTGCAAGACTCCATGGACAGCTGCCGGTTTAAGCAGGGAGCAAGCCACGAAAACAACTAAGTTTGTGAACATGCCCTCGATAAGCACTGTAAATGGAAAAAATAGGCCCCTCCAGAGCCCAACCATCCACCATGCTATCAAATTCGCAAGATTCCAGTGATATTCAGCGATAGAATTTCAGTGTCAGCATTGAATCCTGCATGTGAGCTCGACATAGAAGCTGGAGAATGCCGCGGTACAATTGAGTCGTATGTTCCTTCCTTTCGTTAAAATCTATGTAATACATGGTTGGCGGGGAAGTTTGGTATTTCTGAACGTTAAATTATGATTCCTTCAATCTAGAAAGTCGTGATCGGTGTGAGGAATGATGCTCAAGACAGCACTCCTTCTTTAAATTTTACTCATTTCTTTTATATTCCTCATTCTTTCTGAAATAAGGACAATAATGTCGCACGGAACCATCTCATACCCGGCTCAACTTGAGCGCGGGAGCTGTCAGAAGGTGTATGAGGATCGTGCTTCCGTTACCGGAGAAGCTTACACGTTACCAACCTTATTGGAGGTAGACTGTAGTCTCCAAGATGGAGAGAGGAGTGGATGTCCTTCTGAGCTCAACTTGAGATAGTTGGTCTTAGGAACTTAGTGGCTCAAGAAACTGCTACATAGACTATCTCTCTAGAAAGCAGCATCGTAGTGAAGCACATGATCTGCTGTCAAATGATAGCGCGAATAAGGCGCGATAGTTTAGTAGTTGGTCGAAAATGGTGGCAGGGTGCTAGACGGTGGGGAAAATGACGAGAAAGCGAAGTTGGACGGCCAAAAGCCTACGAAAACACCATGTTCTGCTGGTAGTGAACGAGCATTTTTGTACGAGTTTCCAGTTGGCATCATCTCTGACTTTGATGGATAGGTCTGCACGTATGTATTCCTATATCTGTGTAGCTACTACGCTTCATATCGACTGTGCTTCATCGATGAAGCGATAAGAGTACCAGTGTCGAGGGTACTATGCTACCATTTGTGGGAGGGCGGGTGGCGGTGGGCGTGTGGGTCGGCATGTTGCAGCTTGATAAGGCGTTATGAGGATGGTTTTTCTAAGTTTCCAAACGCTGGCAAGGACGGCGCAATAAGAATAAAGGATATATTTGACCTTGAAGATTCTCAACAATAAAAATTATTCTCATTAGAAGTATGACAACACGTTCACTAAGCGAAGTCTAAACCAAGAGTAAGCGAGTGACAACGAAGTCTCTTGTTAGTGCACTATATGGCGCATTAGCCCGCCAGAATATACAGGGGAAGGGGCAAAAAAAGTCACTTCGACCGAGTCACATATCAGCAAAGTTTTCGCTGCCCAGACAGAGGACGTGGATACGAGTACCAGGGCGGAAGATACCCAAGATGTTCCTCGATAAGCAGGAGCTGGCTCTCATCATCACCTTCATGTACACCAAAATATGAAGTCATCTCCAGTCGCAGCCTGAGAAGACCTTTGGAATTCATGTCACCTCCAAACAGCTGCGAAACTTCTAGTATGGAGTCACCCATGGATAGCTACCTGGAGACCAGTACTCGATCTGGATGACCTCCAACATCGAGCAGCTCCGACAACGGTCTAGGACATCATCTTCACCACAGTCGCCAAGGCGCGGGTTGATGGTATGGACCGGACGTACCTGGAATGGAAAGACCAATATTTTCTTCGTGGACCCCGGACTGAAGGTGAGCGCTGGCGGTTACATCGAGCAACTCGAGAAGAATATCCTCCCCACATGTCGTCGCCCGTACCTTCTTGGAAACTTTGTACTGCTACAGCATTGGGTGCCACCACATGGAATCGAAGGGCGTTGGAGAAACTCTCGCCTACTTGGAATGGAAGGGGGCTGAGTACCTGAAAGATGGAATATCCAAGTAGGTCACCTGACCTGAATCCCCTCAATTACCCGGAGTTCAATAGGGTGGTCTACGGTGGCGGAGAAATCGACTATCTCGCTGATCTCAGGCACCACATCGCGGTCGCGTGCCAGAATCTCTCGATGGCGCTCGTCCAGAAGGCTGTGGCGGAGTGTCATGATAGTATTTAATATGCTCTTTAATATGGTGGTAAAAATGTCCGATCAGAATTCAATAAAGTGTAACTTATACGCCAATGAAGAGAAGTGACTTTTTGCCCCCCCCCCCTGTATGGATGTCATCAATGCCACATATCTTTCCTTGTCTTTCTTTTACTGAAGCTTGAACTTTTTCATGATCCTACTTTCAGATACGGCTACAATAAGGATGACGGAATGTGCATACCGTTCACATATGGTGGCTGCGGAGGAAACGAAAATAGGTTTGGAAAACTAGAAGAATGCGAAAAAGCTTGCGAAGATTCGACGAATCGCTGATACGTTTAAGCAGCACAGTCAGTAGCTCTTCAATATATTTGGTGCGATTTTTTATTTGTATTTGGGCATTTTTGTAATGAAACTTTGCATTTACGACGAACTGCACATTAGTACTTTACGCAACAGAGGAAAGCTACATACATATAATTACACTGGACGTCTGAGGCCACCTCTCACTTTCTTCCAGTCTTGCACTATTCAACACCACTACTTTCACTTTAAATCGCCACCAATTAGCTTAACCACTGCTTTTGAAATCATACATGAGAATATGCGCAGTCTTGCTAGAAAAGACTAGGACATGTTACTTTTTTGAGAGTCAGTCCGAGCAAAGGACTCTGAGTGCGTTCACTTTTGATTGCGAGACCAGCAGGTGTTCAGGTCGTATTTTGTGTTCCCGAATATCGTTGGTACCAAAAAAGAGTCCCAAGGGGGATAAAATTTTCAGCCCTTCTCCATCCCTTGTAAGTCTAGCTTTTTGGCTGCTTTTTGGTTTCCTAATGGAAGGATATGTGGCGACTCGAAGAGAAGACTTGACCACTCAATAAAAATGACAAAATCCGCTTTGAGACTTTCAGAATCTCTGAGTTTATGGTATTGCGAATGGTTATCTTTACGCCACAGGATTGTGGACAATGAGATTCAATCAAACAAAACAAATATTCTGATTTAGAATTTTCCTTCCAGACGATGTAGATCCAAGTACACAATTGGGGTATCCACGCCATTCCTCAATTTCCGAATAACTCATTGCTATGGAACGTATTTTCGCCACGCTTTTCTGAAACATACAAAACTTACCTGTCATTGTCAAGCGTAAGGTATTTAATCAAGGGCACCTTACAGACAAGATTTGGACTTCCAAGAATTCTAGAATATTCCGGGAAATGGCCGAATAATCATTTTTTCTGCACACTAGGAAAGATACTAAGAACAGGTTATGCTACGCAGGGGAAATCGCACTGACAAAACTGATGGCGAACACACAAAAGAACCATGGTCACAGTATCATCCACCCACTTAAGTTAGTGATACATCCTACAGTTCATGATTTTATGGTGAACAGCCGTGGAAAACCTACAAAAACAACTCCTTGCTGGGTACTTTGTCGCCATGAATTCGTTCATCTGGCAGGTAATAGATGTTGTTCTGATTGGCGACGAAAAAAGCCAGCCACCAACCAAACGTTGAAGTCACGGCAGTGATCAGAAATGAATGACAAACTTGCGATGCAACGTAGAAATCGATCGCCTCACTGAATTGGGAAACGAAAGCGGCCTGAATTCGAGTGCATAAGTATATCTCTCAACTTGTCTAGAGCTTCTGACACTATTTTCACTATCCGGCCCTATCTCTTCCACCTAACTGTAAGCCTCCATTGCTTTTACAGATCTTTTGTTTCCAAATGTCAAAGTATTTTCGATTTATAGGGACCGTGATGCACCAAAGCATTCTTCAAAAAGCAAGGAACCACAACCAAAATATACCTAAGAGTCAAAACACATAGTCCGTCTCTTCACAGATTTTCAGTCTCATCAAGTGCAGGGAAACCCGTCGCTCCGCACATTTTACGTGGCGTTGCGAAAAATGAAAAGGACCTCATCATTAGGAGTTCGGGAGGCTTGGTGAGAATCCACACTGGCGATTTTCGGGAAAGCCGAAACGCACAGAAACGCTAGTACCTGTCACGAAGAAACCCCCTCAATTACC